CGCCAAGTTCCTAATCATATCTGGGAGTAATTTTGTGATCTTGAAAACTACATAAATAACATCTATTTTTGCAGCAGAAATGTACAAACAAAAATGACAGACTTTATGAAGTAGATTTTAAATTGAATTTTGTTTATCTTTTTGTGTTCTTTTTAGTCATACCTACTAACTTCTACTACTCTATGTAAAAATAACGAAATAAAACACAGCACGTGTTTTTGTATTATTATTCGCTTATAGCGAACTCCGGATATAATAAACCAGTTTTAGTTCATTTTTCAAGTTCGTTATATCCGGACTCAACTATTATTTTACTCGCTAATATTTTAATGATATTTGCTTGTCGCTTATTACAAACTAAGCAAATATAACACTAAATATATGCATGGCTACCGTTTTCCTGCAATTTTCTTGTTGATGCTACTCATATATGTAGATCAAATTGAATACCGAGCCGGCAAAGCAGCTCTCGTAGGAACCTGGCCTACTTTTATATAGACTGTGAACCAATGTTGCTCTCATCGAAAAACTTAAACAAATGCATCTGTTTATCTGAGTGTGCAGGCACCAAAGACGCCGGGTCTTGGCGACTAAATTGTCGAGCGGCAACTTCGCCCGTTTGCGGGTTCCCGAAAACCGCATAAACAGAAAGGGAAGACTTTGAACTCAGTCATCAAAGCAAATATTTAAACCATAAATAAGATTAATACAACAAGAAATATTTACAACCCTGGTTTTTGTTTGAAGATTTTGTCATTGTTTACCTACTCTAAACTATGAACGTTTAATTTCATTCATGTCGGTTCATTCGTTCGATTCATTTTGTAATTCGCAAGATGGATTCTTTTAACCATAATCCGTTAAAAGTTTGTATAATGTAGCAGCTGAAAACCCAACAAAATATATTATTCTTCGTTTATCCACATGGATTTTCCTTCTTCTGAAAATAAACGAACATTTTTCTAAAATTCTATCTATACGGTATGTACTCTTGATCACCCCTCAGATAAATAAGTCAGCACTTGCCTAAAATTTTCATTTCACATATAACCAATCATCAAGGAAAATTGTAAAGTTTAATGATTGTCACTAAGCAATAAGGGAAAAAATTAATTAACGATCTCTAACGAAACGTCGAATTATTTATTGAGGTTCGATTACTGAATTAGGAATCTGTTATCACCTATGGATTACGTATTAGAAAAAGCTGGCAGGGGGCCAAATAGCGCAAGAACTCTAACAATGTGAACCTTGAATGCAGCACTTCGATAAAAACAATTCATTGAGGAGTAGAAAGAATTTGCTGTTGTTAGTTAATTACAAGACCATATATGTATATTTCTACGTATGCAGAAAAGCAAATCAGTAACAAAACAATAATCTATACACGACGCTTAAAAAGTGTAAAATTTCAAACAAAATTTTTTTGGGAAATCACACGTTCAAAAATGTCCTGTGTATCGGGCATTTGTTTTCACACCCATCGTCTCTCATCCTTCTCATTAGTTCATAAAGTTAAGAGGTATTTTTTGGCTTATTGAACCAATCAATACACGTCTGTACTAACTCTGATGCCAGTCAACAAACTCCGATAGGAAATGGTATTTGTTTGAAATTTACATTCCACCTAGAGCTGCGGAACTTTAAACTGAAGGTACAGTAGAGTTATAGACGCTTTCAGTGGCGTCCTTTTAACTTCAGGCGTGAACGTACGGAGTTGCATGTTCCTTTCCTATTAGTAGGCGTTTTCATTGAAATTTGTATTTTTTTAGATGTAATTTTTAGCAATACGTTTTCTACTTAATCTCATACATACATTTCACTGTGCGTTTAAATTAGAAATCAGAGATGATGATGATGATGATTACGTATTTTAAAACTTATAAATATTTTAAATATTCTTTGAAATAATATTAGCATGTTCCCGCCTGATCCAGGTGAAATTAAGTAATATTAACAGATTCCCCATATTATTAATTTATATTTTCAAGGAGCGTTTTATATCCGGGTAAGCGTAAAAGTGAAAGGCGAATTTGTAATGTGTTTTTACGTGTCTTTGTATGAATTGAGGATAAGTTTTTAGAAGCATTTAAACATACTGCCAATATCCATTTCGATCAAAAATAATGGTTTCACAAATAAATTATATTTTGGTGTCAAATTTCCCATAGGAGTGTAATGAGGACGGTGTGTTTTTCCGGTATATTAAGCATGTCTTTTAACGGTATCGGCATAGGTTTGTTTCAGACAGACTTGGTATGAATTAGCAAATTATCTAGTAAGAAGTATAAATGGAATGGAATGATAGAATAATCGCATTTGAGATAGAATCAAGGAACAAAATCAGTCAAACCGGCGTGGCAACAGGGCATTG